CCAGGGGACCCGGCCGCCCCCCGCCTGTCACTGCAGGGTCTGGGAGCGCGCGGGGCGCAGGGTGTTGTCCTTAGTCCCAAGACGCCCAGCCAGGGCCCCAGCTGACCCCAACCTACCGTGGGGACCACAGGGGGCGGTGCACAGCTCCCTTGCCACCCGTAGCCCGAGCACGCCCAGCCGGGGGACCAGCCGACACCCACCTGTCACTACTAGACGCAGAGGGCGGGCGTTCGGGCTTTGGTTTCCGCCCTCGGGGCTTGGGGGGAGGCTTCTCGGCTGTAAGAGGAGGGAGGAGGCTGCCAGGTGGGGCAGGGCTCTGAGGGAAGAAGGGGCGTCGGAGCCCCCAGCCCAGGCCGACCTGAGGGAGGCTCTGGACCAGGCCTCACCTGGCTTCCGGCCCCGCGGAGGCTTCTTCACAGACACGTCCGAGTCGGAGGAGGAGGAGGAGGAGGAGGCCGAGGACGCCGACCTGACCACGGCCACGGGGTCGGCCTTGGCGCCTTCCGACTCTGCTTTGGAGTCCGAGTCAGAGGCCGAGGGCACCTTCTGGGAGAGGCGGGCCAGGCAGCACGTCGGGGAAGGGCACAGGACGAGGGGGGTGTCCCCGGCCCCTCCACAGCCCGCCGTCTCCAGGGCTACGCGGAGCCCTCCTGCCTGGACCCCAAGCCCCACTTCTGACCCCAAAGCAAAAGCCCAGGATCTGGGGTGTCAGGTCTGACTGCTGGAGAGCCCAGCCGGGTGGGAGCTTTGCCCCCAGGGGACACGGAGGGACCAGGTCCTCCTGGAGCAGGACTGCCCTCTGGGTAAATCCCCGCGGGGCCGGAGCAGCCAAGCTGGCCTCCACTGCTGCCTTCAGCCCCGGGCGCCTTGCAGGCGACGCCGCCCCCCACGGGCACGTGCACACATGCCTACCCAGGGCACTGGCTCGTGGGCGCACACACGTGGCCCTCAGACCGCCTCCCTCCCTGCCACGCATGCTCCAACGTCCTGCTCAGCAGGCGGGCCATGGGGCTCCCTGGAGCAAGGGCAGGGCTGGGGCGGTCCCCCACGGGCCACAGCAGCCTGGGGCGAGCACAGATGGACACGCAGCCACGAACCTGCTCCACTTTCTTCTTCCGGCCTCCCAGGGGGCCCCGCCGTGGCGCTCGGACCACGGCTTTCTTCTCGGGGGTGAAGTCCTGAGTGGGCAGAAGTGAGCCGAAGGGGGTGGCCGGCCACGCACCCCACGTTGCCCCGCGGAGCCGCCGCCC